TCCTGGAATGGAAGGGTGTTGTGTTGTCATTGTTTTTTTTGTCATCTTTTGCTTCCTAGTCTCTTGCATATTTTTTGTTTCCTTTCTCTTTCCTATATTTTAATGTTACTCTTTGTGAAGAGAGAACACAAAACACAAAAGAACCATGATGAATTGTATTGAAATAAATCCTAGTGAAAAAAAATTTGAGAAAAGTTAGAGAAAATTTTACCTTTACTCGTGAAAGACCAGGACGGACCCATTTGGATAGTCTCCACCTGAAACTTACATCCAGTTTCCTGCACTACATGTAAAATTGTAAAATGTTTTGTCATGTAAATACACTTCGTATCAGCTCACAACTTGGTATTGGTTTGTGGCAAATTTAATCCTTTTGGTAGTATCAATACAAGAGACATTAAGGAAAGTTTCCCATTTTATCCCCTTCTGGGAACAGAATACCTATTTCTGCAATTGCTGGTCACTGCCATTCCTATTTTTGTGTTTTCTGAGTGTCCTTTCTCTCTTGACACCCTAACCTACCCCTGCTAAACTTTGAAAGAGTAATCCACCCAACAAAGTGACTGGGATTTAAAATCACATGCTCAAGATTGTAAGTCCTTGATTGACTAGAGGCCAGCAGGAATTTATATTATGGAAACTACCTAAACATGGAAATGAAGATACAATTAAAGCACATCAAATTCTCTCATAAAAGTTCCTTTATTTTCAGTTTCATGTTTAAATTAATATATAGTTTAGGACACAAACCAGTGACAGAAAGACTGGCTTATTTATTCATTATTTATTCAATTTATTTATTCAAGGTAAGTAAACACTTGCTTCAGTTTCACCCAGCTCCAACCACTGTGGTTCAGAGAAGCTAGCTTTATTCAACATTATTCTAATTGCCTTGGAGAGTTGTCTTCACTTGGAAATTAAGGCCTAGAAATAAGTTATCCGATATGAAAGTTCACAACTTGGGTAATCTTAAACCCTTGATAAAGTGACTTGCCAGGGTTCCAAACTGTCGAAAAAAGGTTAGGAAAAAAGTAAACACCGAAACCGAAAAAGGATGCCAGTTGAGGATGGCAAATACATAAACTGCATGCAAATGAGAAACTTTATTTATTGAGATGACCACATCGTAACGAAGGCTCGGGTGAAAAAAAAGGAAAAAGGAAAAAAAGAGTACAGTGAAAGTGTGGTTACGCACAGGCGTCAAACGGACTTGTCCTGAGAAAGCTTAGTTTGAAATTTTGGGTTCTTATTGATTTACTTTAACATAGACAGGCAGTAATGTTATTCCGTGGGTGATTACACATTGTAGTTCTCTATACAGAATATTTGTATTCTGTCCCATCAGCCATAAGCAGAATAACATTTTTATGATTAATCCAAACAAGTCGTATGAGTTTTAGCAGAGCAGGAGACATTTTTGGAGACGGAGAGACTGTGGTGTAGGAACGGACACATCGGAGAGATGATCCCAGCATACCGAACAATGACGAGCCAGTCTACAGAATATAAAGACAACGGACATGTTTGACGATACGTCTTGGCACAAGTGTTCAAAAATAAAAAAGATAGTTGCGTATTGCCTAACCCTCCAAGGATTTGTCAATAGTACCATTGG